GTAAAGGACGCAAGCAGATTTTGACATCAAATTTTGGGGTAAAAAATGCGTCTTATACACCGAAAAATACGGTATTGTAAAGATCAAACCGCAACATTTGGATAAAATCATTTAATTTCTATGTAAAATACATAGGAGGATCCTAATGGTGATAAAGGAGGATCCCAATAGTAATAAAGGAGAATCCCAATAGTAATAAAGGAGGATCCCAATAGTAATAAAGGAGAATCCCAATAGTAATAAAGGAGAATCCCAATAGTAATGAAGGAGAATCCCAATAGTAATAAAGGAGAATCCCAATAGTAATAAAGGAGGATCCCAATAGTAATGAAGGAGAATCCCAATAGTAATAAAGGAGAATCCCAGTAGTAATGAAGGAGAATCTCAATAGTAATAAAGGAGAATCCCAATAGTAATAAAGGAGAATCCCAATAGTAATGAAGGAGAATCCCAATAGTAATAAAGGAGAATCCCAATGGTAATAAAGGAGGATCCCAATAGTAATAAAGGAGAATCCCAATAGTAATAAAGGAGTATCCCAATAGTAATAAAGGAGAATCCCAATAGTAATAAAGGAGGATCCCAATAGTAATAAAAGATAATCCCAATAGTAATAAAGGAGAATCCCAATAGTAATAAAGGATGATCCCAATAGTAATAAAGGAGGATCCCAATAGTAATAAAAGATAATCCCAATAGTAATAAAGGAGAATCCCAATAGTAATAAAGGATGATCCCAATAGTAATAAAGGAGAATCCCAATAGTAATAAGTGGGATGAACTGAAATATTGATTGACATTTTGCTCATATCTTGTATATGATTATCCTTATGCTATTAAGGACAACATTCATAAAGCCACAAACGCTTTGATAAATGAATTAATTAATATTTTATACCTACAACGAAGCTAATAAGGTTACCTGCCGCTGTACTTAATTTTGAATTACTGACAAGATGGAAGGAAGCACCCCTACCGTCCACCATCAGCGTTAATGGAGTGACTGTCACTCTTATAACGCACCTACAGCTTAAAGTACTTGGAACAT